TTTATCCACATGACAATTTTAGCGTGTTGCTTCAGCTTCAGCAAACTCTCCTGCACTCCTCTCTCCTGCTCTCCTCAAAAACTGAATGAAAAACGTCAGTGAAATGGATAAGTGCAGCACAAACTGGGACAGAATCAGTCAATGGGTAGGTGGTTCTGGGGGGTGTATACTTGTGATGCAGTCCTGGTTGTCACATTGTGAAACAGTTTTGATGTTAACCTAGCAACTGATAAACACCTTCTTGTTTACTATGTTAGGCTGACGAGCAACTGTAATGCAATGACTTGAGACATTATCTCAAAATCTAATGATCTTTTGATCTGTAGCAAAACGCTGCTTCCACCGCTGCCTCAGAAACCGATGCAATGTGTGAAAACTCTCACAGCCAAAACTACACACTGGCTGAGCAGATTGCCTGTTATCAGATCTGGCATGGAAGATCTGATACTAGGCTTCCCCTAACAGAACATATATCTATACATAAACATTATTTATTCTGTCCTGTTTGGAACTTGATAGAAAGTTAGCTCAATCACGGAGAGAGCTTGTTTGACATATATCTCAGGACTTTTGTGACCCTAAACAGCTCTTTGCAGAGAGAAGTGTGTTACAGATCTAATTCCAGCCTCAGAGAAATACATACCAACCATCCGCACCAACGTGTCTCATATTAGAACTAGATGCACATGTCATATGCCTGTGGTTTGCCTTTCACAGAACATAGTGTATGTTCTGTGAAACTAATAATACCCTAACACACACGCAACATCTTCATTTTGCTTCAGTGTCTTGACTTTTAAATTGACTATTATCTCTATTAAACATAACATTACTGATATTTTATAATATTTAAATATAGTTCAACCTAAATTAGTGGAAATAATATATATTTTAAGTCAAACAGAAAACTCACTGTAGGCATATATAGATGATCAAGCTGATGACTGTGAAGATGACGGAGAGAGCAGATCCAATGTAGGTGATGTAGCTTAGGGTCACAGCATTAGTTTCATCCACTGATAATGCAGGGTTCTAGAAAAGATATATAAAATATATTTTAAGTTCAAATCTCTGATGAAAGCCTCTTCAGCAGACTCTTTTAGTTGCTTTTGATTTGACTTAAGCCCTCTGGAAATTTAGATAAAAACCTGACTGAAATTTTTATAACCCAATGATGTATCCCAGGTGTCAAAACTGTTTCTTTTATTAGCTGTAGCTAGATAACTGGGCTAATAAGGCTCCACACAAGGTGGAAATACCACACAGTTTGGGTGAAATGTTCTAGACGTTTTAGCACAAACCCATGCTATGATTGGACAATTACGGTTTAGGGGAGGCTGGTACTGGGAGGAAAATGTTCTGTAGAAAGATAATTGTACCACAAGCACAGCAAAGAAGCTCAGGTGGTTACAGCTGCAAACAAATTCCGTTCCAGTGTCACTGGTATCACAACCTTCTGTGCTCCAGTGACCTACAGACACACATATAATGGATAAATGTGAGTTCATCTTTTGATTTAAGGGCAGAAATACTGTAGGCTGGTTCAGTATATGAAGCCCACCTGTTCCATCCTCCTGCTCTGACTCCTGCCAAAACACACAGGTCCCAACAACCGCCTGAAACAGTCAAAAGCGTATTAAAAATGAGAAGAAAGTAGATTTTCCAAGTGTAATGTGAGCACAGCTGAGTTTGTCATTTTACCTGTTTATTGTGTGTGAAGGTTAATTTGATGGGTTGTGAGAGGTTTCTGACAGCATAGTTCCCTGCCTTTACTGCCAGGACTAAATCTCCCATAACAGTGCCTTGCCTGTGGATAGGCGGGGTGGGTATGATTAACCTTCCCCTTCTCATTGTTGGAGGGGGACTCAGCTGCAAAGATAGACAGAGGTGTCAGAGGGGACACAATACATGAATGCTGGGGTGAGGTTAATGAGAGGTAAATCAACTTCCAAAATGTGTGCATATCTTAATAAATGTAGGAAGTACAGTTAATCCTCCAAAAAATGTGGAGTCACAATAAATATAGATACAATTATAGTACAGTATAATTCCAGTTTGTTCAATTGACTTATTTTATTAAATTGACTTTATATCATTACAAAAATGTAAGCATCACACACTTTAAGGTTAGGTTAGGTTAGATTAGATTAGATGATGGACAGAAAATGAATTGGCTACCATCTTAAAATTAGTTAACTGTAATTTGTATCTTACATCAGCTGTTTTGACAGGTAAAGTCATGGTTCGCTTTAGTGGAAGTAAAGGAACTGTGTAAATTCAACTTAAGTGGTAACATTTGTATGAAAAAGATGCATTTAATTTTAATGTACTTTAAACTTTATTCAGATCAATTTAAATAAGTTAAATAAGTTCCTATACGAGAAGAGAAATAAGAGAAATGCATCCATGACTATGATATATTTATTTAAGTTCAATTAACTGAATGGAATTGATAAAAATAACTTATTTTACCCAAGTTACCAAATACTTTTCATGCTTAAACGTTTGAGTTGATAAATGGTTTAAAACAAACAGGTTTAGGTTGAACATACCCATTAGATAGATAATTTTACAGTACACAACAGCTGACTGTGAGCATACAGAGTTCATGGAATCAGCATTCAGAGTAAAATGCTACCTTAAATGGTAAATGGATGAATGTGTTTATATAGCGCCATTCTAGTCTTTCGACCACTCAATCAAGGAGGGATTAACTAAGAGGTCTCAAACGTTGTACCTTAGGAGCTACTGACCTTGAAGTAAGTGCTGTTGATCACAGAGACCACCAGCAGTACCTCCTCCTCAGACGCACCTCCTCTGCTTTTTCGGAGAGCTGAGGATGGGATGTGAACCTTGTGATTATAAGTGGGACTTTCTTCAGCCTAAAGAAACGGAACAATACATGCAACAAATATTTACTCATGTTGGACCATAGGCTACACCAAGGAAAATGTGTATTTATTATGATAACTAAAAAACAATTTACATAAAATGTAACTTGTTGAGGCGGATTTTAGTAGCTGTATTTATATGTTCTAAGTAAAGGTTGTAACCCAGAACTCAACTGTACACCAATTTATGTGATGAAGATGACGGGTTTTCCCCGTTTTGCTCATACGTCAGTGTGTTTCATTCAAAGCTTGAAAGCTTTAGAATTGGTTTATTTTCATTAAAATGGAAAATAACTGTGACTTTGCGAATTCATTCATCATCATTTTAATTCATAATTCTCTCATTCATAATTCTTTCCTTAGAATTTTTCATCACTAGGAGCAACTGTTTGTACTAGAAAGCTTTATGGATATGGCCTCAGATGAGACAAGACCTAGGAGTCAGTTTCCCAAAATATGGCCTCACCTCTTGGGATGAGTTCACTCTCACATGGATGAAGCCTGGTATAAAGATTCGTCCTAATACACAGCTTGCAATTCTGTCCTCATAACACCTGCCAATACAAATTTTATATATTTGAGCATTTTTGCAACAAGTAGCATACAATATACAATTAAAACTCCTTTAATAGGCATTGCTTTTATGTGAACAAACAACACAAAAAGTTGTCTTTATGTTATATGCAATAGCACTAAGGAGTGAAAACCTCTGACATTTTAATGAGCATTGCATTGTCATTTATAAGTTGCTCAAGCTGTGCACCCCTTTGACTGACATTTCAACACACTGTGGTATAAACAGATGCACAGTCATGTGTGTCATCCACTTCCTGATAACCTGGAACATTTCTACCACCAACTACACGGAAAATTATAATGATTGATTTGCTTATTTTCATTTAGGGCCTCACAATGATGTAAAAGCCAACATTCATTAGACAGTGGGGAACAACTACACTTATTCATTATTAACAGGAGAAAGATGCATTAGCCTTAAAAAAGAGGATTGTGAGATGTTCAGCATTAGCTTAGTATCCACAATTTGATTTACCTGGTCCATGGGACATCACCTTCTAGACACTCTTCGAGGACAAAACGACAGTTTTCTGTCAGAGGAAGAAAGAGAAAAAGCGAAAGAGTCAAATAAAGTACAGACGGACACTCTGGATACAAGACTGACAGCTTAATATACAACTGACAGCTCACTCCAGAGGCAGGCTTTCCTGTTGTAACTGTTTGATCACCACTTACTATGTGAAACTGTGGGTTTTAGTGTTGCAGAGCTGGTTGGGTAAGAGTCCCTAACAATGGGTAGGAGAGGACCAGCAGTGCCGCTACTTTTCCCTTGGTTTGATGACCCACGACCTTGATACATCACCGGTTAAAAAGGTATTAGCTCATAAGCACGCAACAATAAACACACTACAACCACATGGGAATAACTCACCACCAGCTTGGGTCTCTGCAAACCAGACGAGTGTGAGGAAAAAAAGAATAATCCACATTGTGCCTCACTGTTCTTCAAACACACATAAGGTGTTAGATCCACACAAGAGATTTGCTTAATGAGGCATGCAGGGAGTTTCACATCTTCATATATTACATGGGGGTGGTGGTGGCAGTGTGTGTGTGTGTGGGGGGGGGGCACAGACAGAGAAAGAAACAGAATGGTGGGGGGTTCGTGGATGAAAAATCATCACCAGTCCAAATGCAGATATTGTGGCGGCCTCACACTCTTGCCAGTGTCACCCTCCATTCGTCACTGTCCGCAAGCCTGCCTCTCATTAAGTGGCCCCGCTCCAGCGACAACTTAATTTCCTTAAGAGGACCAGACACCTGATTCAATTGTGCGCCCATTACAGATTTGTTTTCCCTGTCTAGGCCTTGCTGGGACCACATGGCTGTGAACAGAAATATACTCCCACTATATTAAATGTTGTGGACATAATTCCCAGACATATGATTCATGTCTGCCTCCCAGTATCCATCCCTCACAATGCTCTTAGCTCAAATGGTAGTGCAGCTCCAGTCAGCTGGGCTGGTTCAGCTCTATGCTGGCTGCCATAAAAGTCATATCACCAGTGTCTATTATTTTATATGTTCAGATAGTAACATTTTATCTAACAACTTTATCATGTCAACAGGATTTGATTTTAAATAACTTTTCAGATTCAGCTGTTACATTTTTGTGTTTTGAATACGCAGACCTTTTTTAAAAAATATCATT